GAGCCATCAGTCTAGCCGTTTAAAGTGTAGTGTTACGGAGAGCGTTCCTGATTCGAATGGTATGGGGTCGCCCAGGTTGTCTCTTATATCGATGTCGATCGTTTGAAAAGTCGTGCAGTAAGAGCGGCGCTGAAACGTGCGACGTACGGGCTTATGCAACGTATACGTGTCCTGCGCCTCTAACCAATGTACGACGGAATCTCGTTTTACCCTGCCCCTAGCCATTTGAAAAGTCGTGCAGAGCAAGGGTATATACTTTAACGGTGAAAACGAGAGCACTTTCATGGCGGCGTACGCGTATTTGTTATCCGTTTGCAGGGGAACCACACGAAGCAAGGGTGTTTGGACGTCTCCGGTGATATACGGCTCGCAGACATCGGTGTAAACAAAAAGCATCTTAGGTAGGGCGTTGATCAGGCTAATCGGCTGATCGGCCATCACAACGGGCTTTGCTTTCGATACCACGACCGACTCGGTAAAACCCTGGATGCGTGCCAGAGAGCGGCAACGGTATCGTTGGTTGTACCGGCCGACCCGGATCGCGTATATTTTTTCCCCGCGAGCTCTTCTTCCCCGGACTCTCTAAACACTTCCTGAAACTCCTCGCCGAATTCCTCCTCTGTAGACGAGCTCTTAGTCGACTCGATAGGGCGCAGCACGATTGTTTCACGGCGCTGTGTCTGATTACCGGGAGACCCCGTGTTGCTCTCCTCCCTCGCGCGATATATTCGCGCGGTATACCGGTAGTACGGAGGAACCGCGCAAACTGGCGATCGTGCGGATCGTCTAGATCGTTATCGGTAGAGACGAACGATACGCTCACGTAACCACCTCTACAGAGCTCTAATTTCAGACGGGCCCTCATAGCCGTGGTAGCGTTTATTTCACACGGCGCTGTGTCTGATTACCGGGAGACCCCGTGTTGCTCTCCTCCCTCCATAGACGCTGATTACCGATATATTCGCGTGGTATACCGGTAGTACGGAGGAACCGCGCAAACTGGCGACTGCCCGCCGTTCTCGCTGTTTTTCTCTCCCGCATAGCGTCGCTCATAGCCGTGGTAGCGTTTATTTCATCAATGAGTGTCTTTACGTCATCGTAAACGCCGTGCGCTACGTTAGAACCCGTCACTATAAGACCAGCTATCGGTTCTTTGTGGTTCTTCCGCGGTTTGGTACGGGTGGTGACCACGACCACGTGATCCCAATCTTTTAGCGGTACCGGCATGTGAAGAAAGGTCATAGGAATCTATATTTCGACCAGAGCAACAGCCCATGCCCCGTGTAAATCGATCTAATGCGGTAGATGCAGCGTTGCGCAGCCTTCCTAGTAAGAGCTTAGCCTTAGCTCTGTACTTTTGAGGTACGCTAGCGATGATGTCATCGTCGCCATCGTCGGTTAAGCTCTTGACATTATCCTCCGAAAAATTGTTATTTTTTTTCTTGGCATCGTTATCGCCTCGCCTATCCTCGTCGACGTTATTTCGCAGATCCTCGATAAAGTGTAGATAACGCTGCAGCACCTGATTGTACATCTTCCACGTACGACATACTGCTGTTACTAGGAAGAACGAGATAAAATTGGTCCTTCATTGTTCTTTAAGCGGGATGCCGGTATCCACGAATTGAATTTCTCGGGGTAACCGATCCAACTGACCAGTACTTTTTGGGCAACTTTTCGCGCTCGTCGATGAAATTCGGCGAGTGTACGTTTCTATAGATATTTTGACCACCATTAACAGACATCGCAGAGACATCTAACAGACTTCATGGATGCGTCTAATCTGCTTAAGGGGGTCCCGGGGGTCTGCACGGTGTTTACGGTGTCGACACCCTGCTCCTGCTGCTGGTGGTGGTACGACATACTGCTGTTACTAGGAAGAACGAGATAAAATTGGTCCTTCATTGTTCTTTAAGCGGGATGCCGGTATCCACGAATTGAATTTCTCGGGGTAACCGATCCAACTGACCAGTACTTTTTGGGCATTCCCACGACCGCTTCGTTTTATTACACGATCGACGAGAAACGCGTCCTTTGCGAGGTCCTTGCGAACTCGACCAAGCTCCTCTTCGTAAAAAATACCGTTTGCACGGTGTTTACGGTGTCGACACCCTGCTCCTGCTGCTGGTGGTGTTGATGGGGTGTATGAGGCATTAATCGGTAGTGCTGCTGCTCCACGCTCTCCTGAAGGATGAGAACCATCTTTTTGGCATGCTCCATCTCGATCTGTCTCTCTCTTCGCGGCGTATACCCCTACCCACTTCCTCCTATGAGTTTCGATATGACGGTGCCCAGTATGGGTGCTAGCAGAAGAGGTAAAAAACCACCGCTCTGAACGATAAGACGTTTTCTAGTTTTCACGGCTGAACCCTGTCTGGATAAACGTCTCAACAGCGATGCGTGTTTTCGTAAGCGACGTTTTTGCGTCGGCTTGAGAGGCACGTTACCGCGAAGAATATTCAAAGCACATTCGCATATACAGTTGACGAGTCGCGAGTCGGCCACTCGTAACAAAGCGCTACGCTGTTTGCTATCCAGATGGCAAATAGCCTTTAACACGGCGGCGTGTTTGCGCCCTATAGAGCAGCGTGCGCCGGATACCATTACAACCAAATGACTGGTACGTCTCAATCGGTGTACCCGCCCTTTATACTCTTTCGCGGTACGTACACGTAGTGGAACGGGTCCGAAGGAAACACGCACGTGCGAAAGCGGCAGTTATCGGGGGTCGACTGCTTCAAATCGAGTAGTACATAGCCATGCGGTTGGGCCGTGGCGTCGCGGTAGACCTCCTGTACGAAGCGCGGATTTTCAGGAAACACCTGTCTGACCAGATGCTGTATCTGTGCTCTGTCGCGCGGATTGTTAAATACAACGATGTAGTTGGCGTTCAACGAGATATCGCGCTGTCCTGGTCCCTGATCAAAGAGGTTCTGCGTGATAAAGATAACGCTAATATTCTTATGATGGCTGCCTTTGGTAAAAAGGTCGACCACCGCGTTATTGGACGATTCCCTCATGAGATCGTCGATGATGACGAGTTTCGGGCGTGGGCCGTTACCGTAATCGGTGTTTTGCGGCAGTCCCTCGTGAAACTCTATAGCGCTCCCGTACTCCCTGTACCCCTCCTGCCACTCTGCACAGTAAAACAGAACGCGCGCGAAGCGTACGTCACTCATATCCTCGATGAAGTGTAGGAATTTCTTTACGAAAAACGTCTTCCCGCACCCCGTTGGCCCACAGACCATCGACGTCCACGGATGCTTCCACCGCGTGTCCATTATGCCAAATGAGGTTATTTGGCGGCGCTCTTTACGAATATACTGTTAAAGAGTCTGCCGGATTTAACACACTCCCCCTTCCATCGCGAGGCCTGGCCGCGGCGGGTGCGCGTCACGCGTGAGGCTCGTACGTCGCGCGCGCTTGCTAGCTCTTATCGGTGACGTTGCTAGCCCCTGGTCCGGGTGAGCTCATCGTGCACCTGTGAGCTAACCGCCGCCCTGTATGTGCGTCAACCATATCGCTAGCCACCGTGCACTGCTAGCATGTCCGAAGCGCCGCTGAAAAAAAAAACATAACGCGGACGGGTTGGTAGAGCCTTCGGGGATAGATCGATAAAAGAGATTTTTTT